ACAGAACGAAAAAAAATTGTTCTGCGACGAAGTGATCGTGCGACGAAGTGTCGTGCGATGAAATGTACTAGTACCTTTTCAAATTCCAGCTCTAACTCATGCCAATTGCACTTGATTTCAACTCTTAGAAAAATACAAAAATTCTATTTTTTTTAATGTAAATCTTGACAGTTTATCTAGTCTAATAAATGATTTTATTTCTATTTAGACAGTCTTATTAGTGAACATACTGGTAAGTTTTTCTTTGTACAATAGATCATTTTTTTTTCTGTATCTATCTACGAAGTAAACAGGTCATCTAACAAGGTGATCTTGCCTAAACACATGACAGTAAAATTTCATAATCTAATCGATATCATGCGTTTGCTGACAATCAATATAACGTTCCATTTTCTAACAAAAAGTCATCTAAAAAGGTAAATTTTTGTGAAATTAGTTTTCTTGCAAACTTCGAGATAATTAAAAAGAAGAGAGCACGAATAGTTAGCAGTTACTCTTTTCAAACTAATGTTTTTATAAATGACAGCTATGTCTACAGATTATTATTAATAATGAATGAGCATGAGAATCAAATAATCAATAGACAGTATCCATTGAAAACATGATGATATCTCTAAATGAAGTTCTTCTTATAATGACCTTCACAATAGCGACTTGAAAGTTTATTATCTACGTCGACGATCTGAGTGATTGAAACGTAGCTTATTCGATTTACGACAAGAAAAAAACTCCTAATTCTACTAAAGTGTAAATATCTCTTTGAAGAAAAGCATTTCGTATTCAATCGTAGAGAGGTTTAATCATTAAACCCTTTTTAAGTGAGTTTCTGTAAGAAAATGAAAGTTGAGATTGAAGATTTGCAAAAGAAAATATGAATCGGATTCAATCATGAAATTTTACTGTTGTGTTTGGACTAGTATTATATGATATTCCACTCTTGAGAGCATGACGACATAAATTACGAATTTTTAATCCTTACGTCTAGAAAGTAAGGACGTACAAAAAAATAAAAAAACTCGCTTGAGACTACATAAATGTTATGCTTCATACTGCATTCAATGGTACTCTTTTTTACTTCGTAAGTGACCCCGCAAGGTGGGTATAGGTGTGGGGATGGATTTATGAGTGTGACTCCGGCTGTGGTTGAGCATTTTAGTCCTTCTGTCACCCATCCACACTCACATTTACAATCACACTCATGCATAGCTCAGCGCTAAGTTCTTTGCCTTCTGTTCTTTAGGAACCATGATTAAAATCTGATGTGATATGCTTTATTGAAGAATTTAAAACTGTGTCGGATTGAAATGACTAAGTCATCTGATTTAGCAGCAGATCAATATCGTGACAGAGCTGAAAATTATTTTTCATGTCACCGAGAAATTAGAGATACTTTTCAATGCCTTTGTGCACGTTTAATACCAAACAATATGATCAGGTGTTTATAGTAGAGAGCGTATTCAAAACACCTTAAAATACGACATTTTAGATACCGCTTAACACATCATAAGTTATCTTGGGCAGTGAATTGTGAATAACGGAACTTTGTAGCAACGTGTGAACGAAAATCACACGGCTCTTCAATTCTTAAATCATCGTATCACAAAATAGCAATTAGAATGAGGTGTTCAGGAAATAAGAAAAAAATGAAAGCAATTAGTAAACAGGGCTTCACATCGTAAGAAAAAAAATTTGCAAAAGACGACATAAATGCCGTGCTTTGCACCACATTTATAATAATAAACGTGTGTAAACTACTATAACGTCTATACGTCTGACATTGTTTTTTTAGAGGAGAAGAAACGTGGTTTGTTAAAAAGCCTTATTGGAGCTCGGAAATACGTTCCAAGTGAAAGATGTTTACATAAGTATTTTTTCTTTTTTTTTCTCGTCAGTTCTATTCTGTTCATCTGTATATTGCTACCGTTTATTTTTTCATTCGTTTGAATGGACTGTCCGATCAAACATTTATTTTCTTGTGTATGTTATGAAAATGAACATATACTAATCCATAAAATAAAATGCGTTTCTTCTAAATATGTTTAAAGGATGTTTTTAGGTGACATTTTAAATAGAAAAAACAATATATGTCAAATAAAAACGATACGTTTAATTGAAAAATATCATTTTTCTTTCTCACAATTGGCATTGGTATGCTGATTTATACATTTTTTCTTTTACAGGTAATCGATTATTTGATGTTAGCTTGACATAGATTTTAGCAACTTATTGTATATTTTTTTTTTCGTTTAATTGGTAGAACGACATCCAAATAAGTCAGTCTTGCAATTTTGAGTACTTCCATAGAAATTTGTTACTCTGATATAGGCAACGATTGAATGTTAATAGTAATGTTAGTCTTTCTATTTATTGTTGAAAGTAAATTTTTATATCTTGTATTTGATAAGTTTCGAGCCTATTTTGATATTGTTTTTCTGTGTTTTTCGAATATACAAAGTGGAACAGACATAAAAGATAGATATTTAAGAGTATTATCTAAGTTATCATTCAAAATTTATTGTACTTGACAGAAATCCTTATTAAGAGAGTACATTATTAGTAAAAATCATAAAATATATTTATCAAATTTGTTTTTTCACTCAATTTTATTATATTTTTATATAAACCATGTAAAAATTATGTCTGAAAGTATGTTAGCATAAGCACACAATGATAAAAATAACTCTCAGTGAGTGCATTACTGATATTCTTCTCGTTCTAACAAAGAGTAGAAAATAAATTTGATAAATATATTTTAACATATTTCCTAATCATTCATTTATTTTGAATGATAGCTTAGATATTGAAGATTTATATTTTCTATGGCGGTCCAACTTATTTTGTATTCGAAACATCCAAAGAACTTAAAATACTCTAAAATCTATGAATCAATCTTTCTATATGCTACTTTCATGGAATGTCTAGTAGTTAGATAAATTTCTTATAGGTAGAATACTTTTTATCGTATATTTTTATATGCTATTAAACGTTCACTATTTGACTTGAATGCATCACTCTAAAAAATAATTATATTCCATAGGATCTACTATCTGACCAAAAATGATTTATTAGTTTAACTTGAATATGTAAGCATGGATATTAAATTTAAAACTAAAAACGATGTTAGATTAATGAATCATGTGGTACAATATTGAATTCGTTAAAGAATTCATCTAAAGAATACTTCAAGCAACTCATATCTATAGAATATGATTTTTTTTTCTAAGGATACACTCAATTCAAAAACGAAACGCTTAAAAATGCGTTAAACATCTTCAACATGCATGATATTGTAAAAAGTGCACATTGTTATGAGTCCGTAACTGGTTTTAAACATTTAAAAATGTGCACTTTTCTTCGATTATCTTTTTATTGAAGTGTTGAAGCGTTCTTACAAGGCTTTTTGTCTATAGTTTGTGTAACTCAGTCTATTATTACTCTCCTCTTTGGAAGAAAAAGAATTGTTTAAGTACTCTTCTCTGTTTGAAAAAATAGACGAAATCAATTGTGCTGTTTTTATGCGATACCATAAAGATTGATGTAAGTATATCGATGATGAACAAACACAATATATATGTGTGCAAGGAAAAAATGAAAGTAATCAATATTGAAAAATTTTATATCTCAACTTAATATAGCCGAGTTCCTCAAAAAGTCATGTTATTTTTGGAAAGGCGAATAATTAAACATAATTATAGTATTGATGTATTTTTAATTGTGTTCACTTTATTTTTCATGGTCTAAAAATTTTTTATGCGTATAAATCATAGGTATAGGCGTTGATGAAAAATTTCAGTCCGCAATATTCTCTATTTTTAGATTGTATATTTTTTGGGTTTTTGTAGAAAAATTCATAAAAAAAAACCAACATTTGAAGATTTTTCAAAATTGTTTGCGTCAAAATTCATATAACTATTTCTGTTATTACATTTCCAAAAATTGAGCAAAATCTGAGATCATCGATTGTGCATAGATCAACTGCCTATAAAATATTAATTAATATTACTATTGCTTTTACTTTTACTTTTAGATGTGGAATAAAACATATCAACCGTTCATAATATTATTTCTTACCATTATAATATTATTTTCAATTATTTATAGTGATTACTTAAAAGTTTCTTTGAAATTCTTAATAAATAATCGAATTTTAACCTTTAAACAAACGACTACAAGTACAACTCCTTCATACATTTATTTTATGCTTAAGGATCGTGAAGTGAATATTTGCTATTCTTTAAAATCTCTCACAATGCCTGAAGAAATTATAAATTTAAATGCTATAGCAATCTCTCGTCAACCACTTAATGCTTCTCTTGCTCCGGCTGAGGTAACTTTCAATCAAGTACATTCTATTTTGTATGGAAATCCATCATCAAGCTTAATTTATCAATATGGACGAAAGTATTTCAACAAGACATTTGATCGATCATATCCACATACTCAGCTTACAACAAATATTTTTAAGTTAATCATAGAAAAACTAGATCCAACTTTAAAACCCCAATTTATTGTTGAAGTTGGCTCATTCACAGGAAATTCTGCTACAATTATGGGTAATGTCTTGAAGAATGCATATCCACGAGCCTTTCTTCTATGCATTGATACTTGGCTTGGAGGTTAGTATTTTGTTTTCTTTGAAAACACTCAGATAATCGACATATTTTTTAATTAAACCGCAACTCAATGTTTAGTTCTTTATTTGACAAGTTAAAATAACTAAAATATAATTTCACAGTTTTTATGTCTATTCAAATGAAATCATTAAGATTATTATCCGAGAAAAAAAATCCTTAAAGAAATATTTATAATAAGTGACTCCTTCAAAAAAAACTATTTTGTTGTCATAGAACATAAAATTAACCATGTTGAGATTTACAAGTAGTGCTAATATTAGAAAAATGACAAAAATAAATCAACCATGTGCAGTTTTAGTTCATTGACTACCAACGTCGTTGACTCAGTGGTATGAGTACACACTGACTACACGGACACTCTGACACTAGCATTTACTGAAACATATCACTACAACAAAGAGACATTTTGATAGAGTTAATGTACTGATGTTGCAACGAATACAGATGTGAGTCTAGTCAATGTTTCACTTGTCTTTTTCACTAGTTCACATCACTCAATGAAACAGATTGTTTTATTACTGAATTGATTATATGTTTATTAGATTTAAATATGTGGGTAAATAAAGTTGTTTGGAAACATTTGTCAGTTACTGAAGATGGTCGACCTACTGTCTACTATCAGTTTCTTGCTAATATTATTCAACAAAATCTTACGAATGTAATTTTACCTGTTTCAATGTCATCAATAATTGGTGCACGTTTTCTTCAAACATATCAATTTCGTCCACAACTTATTTATCTTGATTCAGCACATGAACAAGGTGAAACATTAATTGAATTAGCTTTATATTGGAATATATTACGATCTGGTGGTATTCTTTTTGGAGACGATTTTTCATGGTTATCAGTACGTTGTGATCTGAAAAAATTCGCATATATGCGTCGTCTAACAATCGAACATCTTAATGGTACATGGCTTTTGAAAAAGTCATTATAATCAAAAATATTACTCAATATGTATGAGAATTGTTATAGCAATATCAAATCTTTTTGTTATAGTACTATTGTAAAATTTAATAAAGCCTTATGGATTTCTATGATATCTTGAATTAATACTTTTTTTCAAATTCATGTTTTCTACTCTTTTGTGTAAGTCCCATATATTCGTGAAGAAAATAGCGAATGTGAATTTACATCGTTGTTTTTACAAGAAAGGCCAACAATCATTTAGGACGGTTGATTACCAACAGGAAAAGACACGTCAGTAATAAAAACGCTTAAATCATTATCAAACTCTATAGATAATAATGAATCTAAATACTACTGGTTTTGGTAACAGAGTCAGAATACGGTAGACATAGAAAAGTACGAATTAATTTAATTCTAAGCTTAGGTAAAACTCAACAATATATGTTAAAGTTTCCTTCAATGGATGAACTGACGAAACAAAGAATAAAACAATATTTGTCGCTTGCTATGGCATGTAAAATCATTGGGAGAAAAGAATTATGTAATCTTATAAATTGGTAGAATAATTATTTTAAATGTAAAAGTTTTCGAAATAATAAAATTTCAGAGCGCGTCAATTTTGATTTCTTCATTTATTTGATATTTTTTTTTAAAATAGATTATTTAAATTCTCTGACCATATAGAATAATATCGAACAGTCAAAGTTTATGAGAATTACATTTTGACCCCTTCACAGATCTGTATTAATAAATCTTGCATAATAGTTCATTTTAATTTAAAGATAAAATTTCAAAAATTTGATAATAATATAAGTTATATTGTTTGATTTATTTTCAAATAAAAATTCTTCGATAAAATAAAAATGTAAAACACGATCACAACTTATTCTTTTATTTTTATTTTTTTCTGAAAAACTTATGTCGATTTAGCTGTTGCATTTCCTTTATATGAATAATAACTTCCTTTATCAGATGCTGATTTTATTCGATTACGTTTTGATGATCCATTTGTCATTGTTTTTATTTCAAGAACTTTAAGAACATAATTATTTTTTATAATCTCATTTAATGAATTTGTTTGTTGAGTTGACATTAATGGTGTTGAATTTTTTTTATTTTCACTATTATTATCATCATTATCTTCTTCTTCATTTGTAAATTCAGTTAAAAATGTTCGATGTTCATCAAATGGTATATCTAAATTTATTTTAAAATATTTTCTATCTCAAAATTATTTAAATCATATTTTTTACTTTCAGCTGTTAAAAGTGTATTATGTGGAGTACGATAAGATGATGCAGCTGATCTATGAATAGATAAATAAATAATTGTTTGTTTATTTATTTATTTAACAAAAAAGAAAAAATTATTGTTCTATACTTTTTCGAAGATGGTGCTGAAACTTGACTATATGAAAAAGATCTGTGAGGATTGCGTGATATAAGATTACCTTGACTATCGAATAATTCAGGTTTTAATTTACGTAATAAACGAAGTTTTTCATCATAAATTTTAACAAGATCATCCGCTTTTGGTACTGGTACTAATATAAAATAAAAACAATTAAATTTTGATTTTTTTATTTTTTGAATAAATTACGTGGTGAAATGCCAACACAATTTTGAATAGATGGTTCTCGATTATCTTCATGAGTTTGTTGATTTTCATGTAGAATTAATGGTCGAAGTCTAATTATATAAATGAAAATATTATTTTTTTTTTATAAATATCTATTTCATTTGAAATCAATTAACCTAGCTTGTTTCGTTGGTCGATGTAGAGTATTTCTACTTGTAGTATAATTAGTTCCAGTTACAGTCATTGATCTACTATTTAATAAACTTTCTCTTTCTTTTGTATGTTCATCTTGTAATTGATGTTTAACTGATTCATAACATGATGTAAAATGATTAATAAGTTCAATAGTTGAATTGAGTAAATTTTCACCAGGATTAGGTGCATTCTAAAATTAATAATTTTATTTTATTAAATACGAAAATTATTATTTACTTTTTTAGCATAAACAAAATCTTTAGGTACTGATGCATTTTTAAATGGTTGTACAACATATATATTTGGATTAGGAACACCTGGTGGTTGAATTTCTATTTGATCTTGTGAACCATAAAAACGTCGTGTTGGTGTATTTAATGGAGCAACAGTACCCAAACTTGAATGAAGACTATTACCACGTGCAATAGTAGTAGCTGTTGGAGGTGTTGTTGTTGTTGCCATTTAAAATTTTTCTTTCACATCTATACTTCGTTTATAATAAAAAAAAAGTAGCATAAAAGAAACAGAAACAAAAGAAAAAGAGAACAGAAAAAATTTCATGGCATTAATGTTTGTCAGGGTTGCTAATCAAATTCCTTCAAGTTTGTTTTGTGAATGACATAATAGTTACATTTCATTTATTCATCAATTTTTTAACAACATGACATACACAATACAGACATTCAAAAGAAACCTATTTATCCAATGCATTTGTTGACACATGTATTAACAGTTAAATCATATAGTTAATTCACAAAAAAAAATTTTTTTTTTATACTGTAAAGATTCTTTAAAAGAGACATTTTATTTTTCTAAATCTCAATCGATTTATTTCGAAAATTTTCTGATTAAAATTCGTCATTATGAGTTAATATAACTTTCTTTTTATTTATACTTATTAATAACTGCAGTCAATCAGAAAGTTTTTATATAAGATGTTTATTCACTTTTTATTCATTAGAAAGTATTTCTGATGAGTTAGGATCATAATATTGAGTTCCTTCTGAATATCAACTTACAAATTTTGTCTCAGTCATTATTCGAAAGTAGTAATAAACTTTTGAAAGACAAAAATAAACTTCAACTAGTGGATTTTATAGGGTAACTTTTTCGAAGAATATATTTCATTACTTTTGAACAAAAGCTGCGAGAACAAAACAAAACTCTAAATTTATTGTCGAAAAAAGTTCAAAATCGTCGTATTTTTTGTAGAGAATCAAAAATGAAGATGAAAAATTTGTAATTCATAACTGATATCTTTTTCTTAATAATTTATTTTTAAAATTAAACAAAAAAAAAAACAAAACTCTATAGAATTATAATAAAAATCTTGTTCAATATCAACAAGTATAATTAAATGAAATTTTATGTAAATTTTCATTAAAATAATCTCTTCAAAATAAATAAATTTCATCTGAGAAAATATCATTTATCAATAGTAATATCATAAAACAAAAAAAAAAGATGACTTATATTATGTCAGACTTGTTTTATTTCTATGTATTAAACTGTTGATCCCTAGATTTTTCTTTTCCGTTTCTCTGATCAGTGCATAATTCATCTGGTTAACATTCACGTCGGACGAAATGTAAATATATATATATAATCATTTTCCATCATCGTCGAAGTTGTAGTGACACAAAACGACGAAACAACAAAACTTTATTTGTGTTTGGGCAAATTGAATCTAATGGAAGATAATATTTCATCAACAACGATCATCGATATTTCGCGCTACTGTTCGAGCTTTAATGTAAAACAAAAAACAAAATTTTTTTGTTTTTTTCTATATTATTAAAATATAAAATAATTTAGGATGGTGATTTATGGCCATCATCTCAATCATTATGTTCTCAATCACCAGTACAAAGATTATTTTCACCAACACCAACTCGTTCAACAGATTCAGATTCACCAATTTTACCCTTAGCACCAATTGGATGGCCACTTTCATCTGCATTTGCTAATATTGATCTTGATCCACCATTATGGTCATCAAATATTTCTTCTTTATCACAACATCAACCATGTGTAAATTTTTGTCTTTTGATAATAAAAGCAAAAAAAAATTTTTTTTTTTAGAAATGTTGTCATTGTGGAAATAAAACAGAAAATTGGTCGGAAAAATTACAAAATCGTATACGTTCTCATTTCAATAAAGATGAAAAACAAATAGTAACACCAATTCAACGACCATCACCTGCTCGAACTGTAAAGTTTTAACAAAAAAAAAAAAAAAAAAATGTTTTTTTTTTTATCTATATTTTATTTTTATTTTAGAGTACTCCATCATCAACATTAAATATATTTGATGATAATGATGATGATGGTACATTACGTTTACATGTATCAAATATTCCATTTACATGGTCAAAAGAAAAATTAGCTGAAGTTTTTGGAGTTTGTATTTATATTATATATTTAAAATAATTAATTATTAGAATTTTTTTCTTAATATAGAAATATGGAACAACATTTGATGTTGAAGTTGTTTATAATGAACGTGGTTCTAAAGTAAATTTAAAATTGATTTTTATCAATTATTTTATTGTTTTCTTCTGATAAAGGGTTTTGGTTTTGTTACATTTCTTGCAAAAAAAGATGCACTTGAAGCTAAACGACGTATGGATAGAGAAATTGTCGATGGACGACGATTAGTTGTAAGAAATAAAACAAAAAAGGAAAGGAAAGAATTATTTAATTAAAAATGATTTATTTAAGGTTAATTTTGCTAAACCAAAACAAAAAACATCTGGATCATCAAAAGAACATTCATTAACTAGTTCAAATTGGTAAAATGAATAAATAAAAAAAAAACAAACTTTATTTTCTTTCTAGGAAAACAACTAGTTCAAGTGATCGATCTCATCGTATTATAAATAATCATTATCAATCCTTAGGTTTTTCAACACCACCTACAGCTCGTCGACAACATTTATCAGGTTTTTCATCACTTTCATCAACACCAACACGATCAACAACAACAAATAACTATCATCGATATTATCTATAAAAGAATTCTTATGTAAATAATACATTTTATTATTATCTTATTGTGTGTGTGTGTGTGTGTGTTTATTTCTTGAAATGCTCAATAGGCTTGAACAATGAATATTACTCTTTGTTTTGTTTTTTTCTTTTCTATTCAGTATACTTTTTTTTTTGTATTTCATTTCATTAGAATATAGGTGATGATATCTATGTATTTTCTTTTTCCTACCAGAAACAGTTCTTCTGTGTTTTGGTCTTGTTGTGTAATACTTCTGTTTTACGAGATACATATATATATATATTATATATTATACTTGTGGACGTGATCATGAAAATAATAAACGAAAATATCGGATGAACGTTATAAATAATTTTTAATTTGCATTATTATCAAATTAGTTTTTATTTTGTCTTGTATTGAAACATAACTATTTTATTATTTATTTTTAATTCATTGATGAAAAATGATTTATCTTAATCGATTGTAGCTTTTTTTTCCTCTCAAAGAAAATTAATTTTCGTCAAAAATACATGAGAAAATAATTTGATTTATGATTTTTTATTTGATATTCAATTTCGCACCAAAACTTTTGATGATTTACTTTTTTAATCGCACATCTCAAAACGTCTCTCGGAGGCTTCATTGTATACATTTCATTTTTATTATATTTAGTCTTTGTTTTTATGATATATACGCATAACTATTCTTCGTTGAAAAAGTACGAGTTTAAAAATAGGTCTCTGTATTGTATCGGACACCGATATGCTCTGTTAAGCAAAAACAGATAAATATATAGAATGAGCCTGATCAGAGAAATTCGGTTGGTCAAATGAGTTCTTTGATTCTTGTTTGGTGAATATTTCTTTTAAACTTCATGGTGCAGACCAAAAAGATTTTACTATAGCTTCTGTTGCTACACGAATGTTTGATATCAACTGTACAAAGATCAGTATCATTTATAGTGAAGATATGTTTTACATCTTCTCAATAATCAATTTGAAAAAAAGAAACATTTTCTCTGTTAGAACAAATCAACTGTAGTTCTTTAAACGAGCTTTGTTTTTGTGTACTCAAAAAGTGAGTACACTCTAGAATCGGTCAGTGTGTCCGGCCGTCCGGCCGTCCGTATACACGATAACTTTCGAAAGGAGAGTCCGATCGCGATGAAATTTTCTACACAGTTTAGTCTTAACAATATCTCGGTCGAGTTCGAAGATGAGAAGGATTGGCCGAGCCCTTCCTGAGTTATTGCAAAAATACTCATTTTCCCCTACACCTTCCCTATGGAAAGATCGACCAATCCCCACTTTCGTAAAAGACTTTTCCTCTCATAGTCAACTAAAACCCCAACTATTATATACCATTCGATAGAGAATTTCAAGAGCTACAAAATGGTATATAAAACATAAAGAAACAAGAAGGTTGACTCATCTATCACAAAGATAATTAAAGAGAACTAGGTTAGATTTTTGTCCACGATCTAATTGATCCACAAATAGAGCTCTATCTTCCGATCACAGTGATGATACTTCGAGGTTTTCTGAGATGGAGAACTCGAATCTGTATTCCGCTTCCATCGAAATACTATTGGTTGAGCAGTGACCAATAGAAATCAAGTTATAGGAAAAACGACTTTCTTAGGGTAAATCAAGGGGAAGAGTTCAAATTTGAGCTGTATTCGGTCCCAAGTCCTATTGATTTGGCAATACTCAATAGAAATCAACAGTTTAGAGGGTAGGTTCCCCAGTATAATTTTGATGTCCACACATTCTAGGATGGCTGATTCGTCTGATTCACTTTTTGAAGTACACATAACTCTCGGATTTAAATCCGAAGTTTCCGCATTTATTATAAATTAAATTTTTCCTTTCGATATTAATCAATATTCAATAAATACAAGTTTGTAGGTCTTCTCTTCATTCAGATTTCGAACGAAAATTTTCAATTCAACTATTCGTGTTTGTTTTCAGGTCATTCACAGTGATATTTCAATACGAATATCAGAACTCGTTAATTAAATAGTTCTACATCAGTATATAATATTTTTAAATATTCAATTTATTAGTAACGAAAATAAATCAATCGACGAAAATGCTGCTGTCATTTTAAAACAGAATTAAACTATAAATTAGATATTTTGTTAATTGATGCTTGATAAAAAGAATTCCTCCATTATAGAAAATCATTTATAGTTTTACATAACATAATTCGAAACAAATCGAAAGCAATAATCAAAGAATAAATAAAAATATGTATCAAAAATAGATAAATACTGCTGAAAAGATCATTTTTTTTTCTTCAAAAACAAAAAATTCTCTATTGAATGACAAAATTTTTTGAGCAATAATTCAACGATTGAAATACAACAAAAAAAAGGAAAACAACAACGAATTTAAGCTCTATAAGAATAACATTCAAAAATCAAAGTCTTGTAAAAGATCATATTTAGAGAAGTTTTCATGATTTATTTTAATCATTCGAAAGAGAAAAAAAAACATTTCATAGCGACTAAGATATTGCTTTATTTGATTATAGAACTAAATCCATATGATAGAACATAATTCATCACTAAAAAACAAAAAATAATATATCCAAAGAATAAAATAAAATTTTCTTTTAATTTAAAACATACTTTCGTTCGTTTTCGTTTAGCAAGTGGACTATCATTCGTCGTAGTCGGTAATGATATATTACTTTTTGTTGCCATTTGTCCTTGAATTTCTTGTGCTGATAACTAATTAAAGACAACAAAAGATAAATATAGTAGTCGAAAAAAAAAATTCCATTACAAGGTAAATAGTATCTCAATTTTAAAGGTTAACATAGATTTTTATATTTCAATGAAAATATCTTACGAGTACTTCCTACATGAGAATCATCAAAGAGTGACTTATGTCTTCAGTTGATTCTAATTATTCGTCTTGACATTTTCTTTAATGAGTGTCCTATTCTAATTAAGGTTTCTTTTAAAATTTCACGTTCTCAACTATCGATAGGAAAGCTACAAAAAAAAACAAGTAAATCTTACATTGAAAAGTGGAACTGTTACATTAAAAATATGTTTAGCTGATCGATGAACATGATGATAACGTGGATTATATTTCATAGCATTGTATAACATTAAATAAATATCACGTTTAAAATATTCTTTTGTTTGATATCCATTAGATTCAAGTGTTTTTCGAATTGTATCAAGAGCTATTGGACGTCGAACATATTGATGATATTTTGGTGCAATTTCTTCAGTTATTTCATGTTCAAATAAATATCCTTGTCTAACAAAAAAAAAAAAAACATTCAATTATTCAGAGAAATAAAAAAAAAAAAAAACAAATTTTTATTTTTCCTCAATACTTATGTGCGAGAATAAATTGAATAATAGTCATTGCTTGTGATTGCCAACTATTTGGATTTTCAGAAAGCATTGCTGAGAATCTAAATAAAATTTAATAGATTAGAAATACAATGAAAAGAATTTTCTTATTGATTTTTAATTATGAATAAAACCTTCTTGATTTTTCTTCTTCTTGTTCAGCAGCAGTATTTGGTACTGAACGTGTACTTATTGAACGACGAGTAATTGGTGCAGTTGTTGATTGTACTTTTGATTGTTCTGTTGATGAAGAAGATATATCTGGTTGATTTGTTGATTCAATTTCATGTTCATCTTTTATTTCATCAATTGTTTTTCGTTTTATTTTTGTTTTATTTGTACTAAGATTATTATTAATAGAATTTTTTGGAGAAAAATAAACATGATATTTTTGTGTAGTTGTTGGTATTATCTTTAAATGGAAAATATTTTCAATAATTATTTAAAATTTACAAAAAAAACAAAAGAAAAATTTTTGTTTCATTTTACTTTAACAGTATCTAGTTTTGTTTCAGAACTTGTTCTTGATGTTGATCTTGATGATGAAACTGATTCTGGTTTTGTTGTTATTGTTGTTGTTGTTGTACTTATTAAAGGTGCTAAAGAAGGAATAGAAATTGGTGTTTGAGATATGGATGATTGTTGATCCAATAAAGGATTTTGGGAAGGAGAATCTATTTGTGTTTGTTCTGAAACATCTTCTTCAATAATCGGTAGATTTTGTTTTGGATTTGGTGAATTTGTAGATGAAACTTGAGAATTAATTTCATTAACAATAGTTTCATTAGGATTTTCATTTTCTACATCTTCTTTTATTAGTGATTCATCAATAATTGTAGGAATAGGAGTCGTAATTTGTTCTTTTGTATCATCGAATACTGTAGGAACTATAATTAATTACATCAAATAAATTAATAACAAAGAATATTATCTACTGACTAGTATCTGGTTCACTGGGTAAAGTTGATTCTATAGGTTCACTCGGTAGTATATCTGGTTCTGTTTTAATTGGCTAAAATAAATCAATATATTTTCATTGATTTTAATTAATAAACAAAAAATAAAATAAAGTTCAATTAATACATTAAATTAAGATTATCACAATTTTATTTAACTGAAATTCTGACTTTATGTAAATTTATAACAAGAAATGTGTGAGATCTAGTTGTTTTTTTTGTGTCCCGGTTTCAGTAATCTTTTTTTTTCTAACAATCCTGGTGATTTTAGCATTTCTTGCCCATACCTAGAGAAAACTATTCTAAAAGATAATGTTTTTCATTAATTAAATTGATGATTACAGGGCTGGTCCGAGTCAACAAACATTGGAGGGTTGTTCTGGACATTTGTAATACGAATAAAATTTTTTTCCAACATAAATCTTATTTTCGCTGGAGAAAAACAAAAATATTCGATTATTGAGGGGTTTGTGACAACCCTCTAGTCGGATCAGCCCTGAATGATTAGCAGTATTTTGGATTATCTCTCTTCAATCATGCCCCTCAGTAATATCATTTATAAGACGACAGTTCACTTAAAAATCATAGATTATTCAATTATAATCTTTAGTTCTGATTGGATCAACTATTTTCTTATGATGGCGATCTCACACCTCATTCAGATATCTAGAAATGAATGAGACTATGATGTTTTAAAGTCTTTTTACTTTGTCAAACTGCTAATTTATATAAAAGCATAGAATTGTAAATCTGAACTAACTATGTGATTTGAGAGCAAGTCACAGAAATAGAGTCACGATATTATTTTACTAAAATAATTCCTTTTTAATGATTATTCATCTTCAGATGATGATGATGAGGTAACTGACTACATGAAGAGAAAAATGAATCAATACAAAAATGACATGTATTGTCATGATAGACAAAGCATTCATGTATATATCTATAATAGTGATGTGTAGCAGCAATGTTGTGCTCTATTCAAGCATCATCCGTAACAAACAAATGTATACTTAGTGATATTGATCTTCTTTTTTTTTTTTGGTGAAATTTAAGATGATCTCATTTTTTTGTTGCTATTTGCGGAAGAAACTAAATATATACTTTTTTCATATGAAATAAAAGCTGAACTGTGATTATGAAAGTATCTGTCAGATGTCAATTAGATTCAATTCGACTCTAATGTCCGTATAGGACAATGATGATTAAAGATGAGTATTAGTCTCTCCAGAAGTCTTATCTTTTAAGAAAATTTTGTAGAAAATTTGAATCATTATCACCTCAGAAATAATTTCAATTATTGGAGTTTTTTCTTCTTGTGGTTCATCTTGTTGAGGAGTAGCAACAGGAGTTGTTATCTCTGTAATTGATGGTCTACAAAAAGCAAAATTTCTTTTTATTTAATTTAATTTAAAAAACATACGGAAGTGTTGGTTCGATTGTATTAGATTTAATATTAACTGCTGATTCAAGTCTAAGACAAAATTCAGTTAATTTTTTTCTACTTTCATTTAATTGTTGTGTTAATTCAGTTTGATAAATTGATTTTAATTGTATCCAAATATATTTAGCTAAAGGTAATTTTAAATTATTTGATGATCCATGTTCAATCCATTGAGATTTATAACGATTAACAAGATATTTATATTCTTGTTTACAATTCTATTTCAATAAACAAAAAAAAAGATCTTTAATAATAAATAGAAAAATGACAAACTTTAATTGAATAACGTCCTTCTCTTTTTGCTTGTGATAAAATAATATTTGTTTGAAATGTTCTTGAAAGATCATTTGATATTGATGACCAACTTTCTAGTTGATCACCATATTCAAGTATATCAGATATTAAAACAATTTTTTCTTTCGTTGTCCAATCAATTGACATCTAAAAATTTCATTGATTATTTTTTATATATTTGAGATTCAATATTCTATTCTTATTTAATAAAAATCTTTAAAGTTTTTAGCTGATGTTTCTTTGAAACAATTATCAAATGAATTTATACATTTCCAAAAAAAAAAAAAAAAAAAAGACAAGACAAAAGAAAGAAAGAATTATTTATGAGTCTTCTAATTTTCCACCAGCAATATCAATTAATTTTGGATAACGTAATTGTTTATTGTCTAATTTTTCTTGCATATAAGTAGCCATTCTAACAAGCATTGATAAATCTGATTCTGATTCATCATTTTGATAAATAAGTAATGCACTATTGATTTCATTAGCAACTTGTTGTCGATGTGATATTTGCATTAAATAACCATAAGGAGAATCTAATGGTTTATCAAATACAAGTAATGCCATAGTTTTTTCTAATTCTTGTCGCATTTTTATTTCTTCTTCTGCAAATTCAGCTAAATGAATTTGAGCATAAGTTAATGCTTCATCTATTAAATTTGAACGTATTAATTCGATTAAATGTTGTTGCTAAAATAAGTTTTTTTTTTTTTTTTTTAATTTTCAATATAGAATTTTATTATTTTATTGATAAATCTTAAAGACAAGAAATACTTTGCTTGACAAATGTCATAGAATGAAATATATATACCTTTTTCTATATTTCATAATGATAGATAACTAACCTTCAGATATTTTTTTTCTTCTAACTACTATCAATAACTTATTTTACAAGGACAATCTCATGTAAAGTATCTAGAAATTATTAAATCGATTTTATTTACTAAGAACTTAAAATGAAGATTGTTTTTTTTTTAAGTATGAGAAAACTTCTTGTTACATAAAAACCTTGAAATAATGCAAAAAAATTAGTCATACAAACACACAATCTACTAATAAGAGAAGATTTTCAAGTGTGACGTATCAATGTAAATTGATTTAGACATATATTTAAAAAAAATTAACAATTATGCAATTTTCGTCCATAGATAGATTCGATAGTCATGAGAATGTTCTAAAAATTTCATTTCAAAATAATATTTTCTTCTTGATAGATTACATTTTGAACTTAAGATCATCTATAGACAAAATTTTAGAATTAAATATTTTCATATATGTCTTGCGAAAAATCAAAACATCGATCGTAATTCGAGAAGAAATTTTTGTAGAATTTTTCTAGTCTCACTATGAGTATAATATTGACTTAATTGATATGTAATAATTAAAGATTTTCTCTTATAAAATTAAATACCTTTAAATGGAATGCTAATTGTCGATTTTGATCAAGTAATTCAGGTGCTTTTGTATTAATTAAACTGATTGCTTCTTGAATTCTTCCACTTTCAATTGCTTCACGAATTCTTAAACGTTCATCAAGTGATGTTAAATCAACATTATTCAATGATATACCAGCTTCTTCAGCAAATTTTTCTGCTGCTTCTTTAAATCCTTCTATATCATACAAATTTATATATATATATGAAAACAAAAAATAACTCATATAAAATTTTACCAGTGACAAGATAATTAATAATCAATCGATTAAGTGTTGATCTTTCTAAACGTTGTTGTTCAATAGCTTCCATCCATTCAGTTTTTGTTGCTGTATGATGAACAGGTGTTAATGCATGTGCTTCAGATGTTGATGAAGTTGATGATGTATTTGATACAGCCATTGCTGCTGCTACAGCTGCCTATTTTTGTTTTTTTAAAATTTCAATCATATAAAATTATCTTCAAAGATATTATTTTTAAGAAAAAAACAAAATAATTCTTACCGCTGCAGCTGCCTTTAAGAAAATAAAATATAGAACTATTTATAATATATGAAAGTGATCAAAAACAAAACAAAAAAGAATCAAACAAACCTGATGTGGTTGGGCAAAATGTGCATGCATAGTTTATTATTACAATCTAATACAAAATTGAGAATAATTATCTACAATTGAATATGAAATACTTTCATGAAATTATAAGTGAAGGACTTTGCTGATGGCAAGCAATCAAGAAAAGAAACATCGTAATAAATTACAAGACTGGAAGAATTTATAAACCAATGGTAAACAATGAGAATAAATGGAAATAAACAAACTAATAATAGGTGACATCTATTGATCAATATTCGTTCAAGAATATACATATAACTCGAAAAATTAACGTGTTCTCTCAATAGAGTTAAACTTTTAATCGTAATCTGCTTTTAATTTTTTTAATGTTTTCATATGTATTAAAAGAAATAGACACCCAATCGATCTCAGCTTAGATACACTCAAATCGTATGAAATTTTCGATCATATATCATGATGTGTTTCATAGATATTCAACAAATAAAGATTAAGAATAACTGATGTGGCAACTCGAAATATTTTCTAGGTCTTTGTTGAATATACTTAATTTGTTTGTTGTTAAAAAAGTGCATATCAAGACGTAGGACACGACAGAATCATTGTTTTTGAATTTTTAATTTTTCAGGAAAGAAAATGAATGAAAAGTTCTCTGAATCGACAATCTCAAAGAATGGCACACTATTATGAGAAGTATTTTTTTTTAGATAATGATAACAAAGCTTAATTGGAAAAAGAAGGGACACTTGCCATGTCCTACATCTTGACATATTCTTTTAAAAGAAAAATATCGTTTAGAACGAAGCTCCTTCACGGAGTCTAGGATGCACGATCAACAAAGAAAGTATAAACAGATTAAAAAAAAAAGCGTAAAAGACTTCCTAATTGTTGTTAAACAGCATATTTTTCAAGTAGATAATGGTAGAATTCATTATTGGAAGAAAATGCAGTATTAAATAAAAAAATCACGTCCTTTATGACAGACCAGACATTGACCTATCCTTCCATGTATTGATCTTGGTTTTGATAATTTTGACAAAAATTGACTATTTTTCAGGAGATGAAGAAGCTTCATAAATGCCATTCATGAAGAGAAAGAAGTACCAAAGCAATTGTTAAACATTTTTCAAAAGCATTGATCAATAAAATGACAACATATTCGAATAAGAATTATAGAAATTTCATATATCCATTTTTCCAATGATATTGGTTTTTTGGTCAAGGTGACATATGCCATGCAGGATTCTTTCATAGATCATTCTAAACGAGTTTTTTGTACCACAAGCTAGAGCAGTAATAGTATCCGTCGTTTAAAAACTAAGACAAGTGGTATTTTGAATTCAACAGTCTCATACTATACTTCAACATGTTTTATAACTAGAGCACATTTTTGTTGCTGATATTCATTTAAACTAAATCATCAGAAGGAATACAGTTTAAACCAACTTTAGTTTTACGTATTATATTTCGATCAAGATCTTCTTTCATCGTCTTTAAAATATATTCAAATTACTAGATGTTTAAAAAGTCTCAATAGCTCACTAAGCCATTGGGAAAGGAATGATTAATATCTTCATATAAGTTTTCCTGGCGTAATCTAAACAACGTATCAAATAATTAAGAAATCAATTAACTTAATTTTATGAGACTCAATTTGTTAACGATAACAAATATTTACACTGTTCTTTTTTTGTGGTAATTTCAGTGTTTCTCGGAAAGACATTTCCTTGATTAGTTATTCTTTTGAACTCTATACAGTTTGTGCTTGTGAGACATTCAAATATAAAGTAAGACAAAAACAGAGAAACGCAATAACATCATTAATGTACAGATTTTATATGGATTCATCGAATAAGTCTTATGATAGGAATATCATGATAAGATTTTTTCTTTTTTTTTTACTTTTATTAGTAATTTTTGAGGTATGTCGAAATATTTGGATAAAAATTAATGTTCTTACATTGAAAGAATGTATATTGAACATATCAGATCGAATCAAAAATTTCATCAGTAGACTAACAAATTAGAAGTATGAACTTTCTATAAGCTTGTAGTTTTCAATGTTAACAAAATAGAACAACTGTTTATTGTATGACATTCTATAATACAGTAATCAAATAATAGTCAATGTTAAATATTTTATATGAGTCATAATGATCTACAATCAATATTATTATTCGAGACTTTTTTTTTTCGGGCATAAATTGAGACTGTTACAAGTCCAAATGTTCAAAAATAATGGAATGAATAGCTATTTTAATATTTGCAATGAATCCTAAAGTATCAATATCTTCCCAATCCAAATCAATGACCAATACTTGTTGATTATCAAGCTCAAGTGTTCCTTCACACACTTTTTCACCATCCAATAAACCATATAGATTAAGTTGTCCTTTTTTATCAACACCACTTATTTCAATACCTTTAACAGCAAAATATTGTCCATTAGCACGTTCAATACTCATAGGAAAATGATTTGTTATTGCAATAACTTCATAAAAATTGAAAAGTCTCAACCAATCAGGTTTATGACGACGAACATAATTTTCACCTATATAATCAATATTTATCCAGTTAAATCCAGCATAACCATCTGGAATGTTTGAACGATTATTTAATGCATTTGAAATTTTTGTAAATATCAATTTTCCTTCTTGTATCGGTGAATCTAAAAATATATTTGACAATAATTATCGATTCAATTAATAACAGAAAAAAAAAAGTTTTCTTTCAATAAATGATCATATATAAATTGTTTCCTTATATCTATTTTAAGTTACATAACTTACTTCTAATTTCATTTGATTGTGATTGATTACTTGTTACAGTTTTTATATGTTTTTTTTTATTATCAGTTGATCTTTCAGTTTCAAATCCTTCATCATCATCTGCTTCTTCTTCTTCTTCTTCTTCTTCCATAATTTGAAAAGGTGGTTCTAATAAAATATGACGTGGTTGAACTTGTTTAAGTTGAATAATATGAAGATTAGATGATGAAGATCCTTCACTAATAACTTTAAAATAAGTTCCAGGCATAAGAAGAATTTCATCATTATTTTTAAAATAAGAATGATTACGAATATTTTTTCCATTTAATGTTTGAATAGAAAATATTGTTCGATTCATTTGTTTACCATGATAAATTTTTGATTCAAGAACTTCAAGATTTAATGTACATGATGAAAAAGCCCACCATATATGATATGTATCTTTTTTATAATCTTGAAATTTTATACCATTTCCTCTCCAAATAATTTCACTTTTAACATCAGGTAATTTAAAAAGAGCTGTAAGAAATAATTTTAAATATGAAAACCATGGAATAAGTTTATCACGTTTATCTTGACGTAAATCAAAATTTAATTTTCTATATAAAGCATCTGGCCATTCTAATGTATATAAATAAATTGAAGCTGATTCATCTGATGTTAAATTATCATTTGGTTTTTTTGAATTTTGTTTAGCAATATTAATATAACGTTTTAAATCATTAATAAATGGTAAAAGAGTTTTACATGCTTCTTCAAGTGAAACAAGTGGATAATCTTCGTAACCACATATTGGACTTGAAAGATGTTTTGGCTCATTTTCTACATCACCAATTAATCGTAAATTTAATTCAGTAGTATTATTTGAAAGAGATTTCATTGGATTAAAACTTGATGAATGTGAACTAGTAATTGTTCTTGGTGAAAATGTATTATTATAATCTGATGATTGATGAGAAAAATTTCTTGAATAACTTGGAAGAATCTTTCCTGTTTTATCTTCTTCATATACTGTTGCACATTCATCTATTTATTAAATAAAAGAATAGATTCTTTAAAGCAAAAAAAAAAAACAAAATATATATAGATATTGGAGAAAAGATAAAACATACCTGCCGTAGAATCATCATTATCTGTTGTTGTTGTTATTGCTGTTGTTTTATTTGATGATCCACAGCCCATTATTTTTAATACCGAAATGTTTGATAAAAGTTGAAATCTTTTTCTTTTTTTTTTTTTTTTTGAATATTGTGTTGATGTCCGTAACAATTAATCAAATAGGAACGGAAAACAAAAAAAAAAAAACAACTTTTCTTTTTTTTTGTTTAATCTATTTTTTTCAGAATATTTGAGTTTAGAATGAAATTATTTTCAAGGCAATATTTATATATTATTATTGAAAGTAAGACATTTTTTATTATTCAAAAATTTTTAATTATATGTTATAATTGAAGAGAGAAACCATTCAAGAATCTATTATTCAATCACATTATTATTCAGTACAATTGACATTATTTGTATGATTAAGAAAGGCACACGACGAAACATTCTACGTTGAATTTAGTTTCGAGAGAGACTAATGTCAAGTATATATATATAGATATTTTATTACGTACAATTAATAGGAAATAATGAAGTTTCGTTTGTTAAAAAAAAAAGATCAATAGAATCAAAGTCAAAATATTCTTCTTTTTTTGAATCTTCTAAAGTTTGCAAAAAAAAAAATAAAATTATGCCTATGGTCATATTAAGGTTATGATTCGCTACGTGTAATTCTAGTTTAAAAAAACGATTCATTTTATGCATCCATGACACATATTTTTCTTTGATCTTTTTAATATTCGAATGGAAATCGGCTTACAAACTGAACATTTCTTAGAGATGATATTGAGTATGACGACTACAAATATGAGATGATCAGAAACAAGAATTTTATTTATTCATAGATATCAGATCTGCTTTTTAATGACGATTATTTGTCAAAATGAACTTATATATTGTATTAAGAATCTATAGAATTACGGAGATTTTGATATCAACATAGACGAAGAAGATAAAATCAAATACCTTTCATTGAATACAAATATTAGGAATATCACTGCTGAACACACTGATTAGAATGCTTGATAGACAATATAAATGTTACTTTTCTGTATAAATTCGTTTTCATCTATATGAATATGAAAAGATTATGTCATAGATATTTTTTTGTCAGACACTTCACAAGTTCCATTCGATGATCTGTTAGTAACATAGGAAATCGTGTTCTCTAGCCAATATCGAAATATAGTGAAATACTTGTTTGAAAAGAAATGATTAAATAAACTATTCCTCAATCTGAATTCGATATTAAACAACTATAAAACTTTAATAAAATATTTAAATTGTATCTTTTTATTGCATTGAAAATATAAATGCTGGATTATTTATGTATGAAAATAGAGCTTGATTAAAACAATAAATAAATTTATTTTCTTTCCACTGGTTTTTCACTATCAACCATTGCATGTACAACACTTCCTGTAGCATGACGCAATGCCTAAAATTTAAAAAAAAACATAACTGAATTAAGATTTTCATTGGTTATTTTCTTTTTGATTTAACCTCTTTAATTCTTCCAAAAAATCCTGATTCAGCATTTGGTATTGGTTCACCATTCCATCGTTCTTCATGACGAATAATTTGTTCTTGTTCATTTAATGTAAGTAATACAATTGAACGTATAATTGTTTCTTTCTTAATACCTTTCCATTCATAATGTGTTTCAAGATATAATTTCATTGGATTTGTATTTATATCAGCATCACTTTTCGTTACTTGAGAATCTTTAAAAATTTTTGGTAAAGATTTAAAAGCTGATTTAACTGATGAAAGATTTCCAGAATATTGTAATGGATCTTCAAATTGTGCATTTAATGCATAATGACGAAATGATTCATCAGTTGGATTTGAATTATATAAATTAAGAACATCAGATATAATTTCTTCACGAATTTTTCGATTATTATCTGCTGAAAAACAAAAAAAAACTAAGAAGAAAAAAAAAAAATTAATTAAATATACACAATTGAACTTTTTCAGTTGAAGTTGACATCGTTGTAAATGTACTGATAATTGTTTTATAACTGTTATGTATTAAATAATTTGAAAATAATGAAGTAGATGTTAAATTAAGACGACTGATAGAATGTATTAAATGAATTGTTGATTACAATAAATAGATAAGATAATGTAAAGAAGAAATTTTATTACGAATATTTAAAAAAAAAGACCAATCGTTAAATTATGATATGATGTCAAGAATTCATGACTCATGCTATCTATAATAGATTTGAAAGTGACTAATGCACTTTGCATATGAATATTGGATAATGAATTCTATGAGATGAAAATATAGGAAGTTTTATTCTGATTCAAACATAATATCTCTCATTTGGGGTAAATTTTTCCGAGATCTTTTTGAAGGAAAATATTTTTAGGTAGTACTGACCTCTATATTTTTTTTCTTTCAATATTCAGTTTTAATAACAGATTTTTTAATTTACAATGTTTTGGATAAATAATTATTAGCGTTTTCTTCGATATTAGTACGTTTTTTGTCATGATTTACTGAGTGTTATTAATTTAAGTTTCTTTCTTCGGCTACTATATTTAATTGACAGTATTTTGAGGATGTTTTTCTGCTAGAGATTACGTCGAATGGACCCATGTCCTTTGAATCGGCTAAAAATTGCCGATTAATCCCGATTCATCGAAACGATAATCGTGAGCTGAATCGCGATAGAATCGCCGATTATTCCAGATTATTTCAGCGATTTTTACGATAAATCGTGATTTTATGCAAGATTTAACCGTCTGTTTACTGATATTTTCTACTATTTCATTGGTTCTTTTGGAGACACATATTTGGATTTTTTCTTGAATTTAATTCAATTTTTTTTCTTCTCAAGATCCAAGCCGATCAGATCGTGCGATCTGTCCGATCTCGAGCTGGTCCGATTCTTATCAGACCGCTTCAGTGTAGTCCTCTCCAGATCATGGAGCGGGATTGGCATTTCCTTGATTAAAAATAACCAAGAAATAATTTATCAGAAAAGTATATTTCGAAAATTTATTTGTTATGCATTGAACGGCGTTGTTTATATATCCGTGTGTGTTCATAACAAAACGATGAATGAATAATTGTCATGATTTATCAATGATTTTTGAAAATCAGCTCTTCTCTCATAATCACGATAAAACTCTGATATAATCGTCGATCTTTTAAAGAAATACGATAAATCACGATTTTACGCCAATTTTTTAGAAAATCGCGGTGATTCTCACGACATGGGGATAGTATTGATTAGTTAGAATGTCCAAGGTAAACTATTTCAATGCTAATATGAACAAATAATTAGAATTACAGTTGTCTATGTTCTGCACGAATCTAATTCGTTTTAAGACCTTTTATATCACTTTTTCAAACATGTCGTAACCAATTAGATTATATTTTCAATCAAATCTGATTCAAAATAAAGTTGAATCAAGCTCGTTTTGTATTGATAATTATATGTGCTGATCCAAAGATTTACTGTAATCTAGTTCAAAAAATTCAAAAGTAAGTTTTCATAATATTCTCAAATGAAAAAAAAAATAGTTCCAAACATGTAGTAGTTGTGAAACGTTTTTAAACATTCTTTCTTAAATCAAATTCAATATGAAATAAAGTAAATGTATTCATTTCATAACCATAAACAAAATATTCTTAATGAATGAAAAATACTTTAAAAGCTTCGTATATGACCATGTAAATATTCATACATAATAATCAGAATAATTTTTGGAATATGAGTACAAATTATTTGTTATGATATAGCAGAACAGATTAAAGGAATCTGTTACCGATAGAAAATGTTTTATCATTATCCATCATAGTCCTTTTTGTTACCAGGGTAACAATTTCTTCATTGATAGTTATTTAGAATAAAAAAAAGAAAAAATAGTTCTCCCAAACAAGAGTAGTTCTTATCTTCCGCTAACTTCAGATAACGCAGAATTCTTTCAAATTTTAATCTATAGATGTCGCTGGTGACAAGTGCATCTGCTATTAATAGGTTGAACGAAACGACTACTTTTTTCTGAGAGACAGTATACCATTTCTAGGATTTTTATCTTGTTCTGACATTGTACACAATAAGCAATTATAGAACGTACAAAACTTCACCTCGGGATTTTTGCTCTACTATGCTCCGAGTAAAATGAAAAAAAAAAACAATAGGAACAAATGAATTGCGAACAAAATATCTTGAACTTCCAAATACAACTAGAAAAAAAAACATCTGAAAATGACAGAAAGGAAATTCATCTATTTATAATTGTTAAAAATTTCAATAGTCATCTGACAATGCTAAATCAATTGATTTTATATCAGCTATGTCGAAAAGTAGTGAAGAAAAATACTTTGCAGTGAAATTAAACAAACCAAAAGACGAACTTATCCGGATTGAAAATCATTGATTTTGAATGAATCATTATTTGAAAACTTTCTCAGTTTATTCGAAAGCAGAGTGAAGTAACAGACTAAAGTAGTAAGAACTTTATCTATCATACTCATTATAACAAGAGAGAACGAGGAAGAAAAAACATTACCCGATGCATACATCTGTCTCAAATACGGGTTTTCTCATTTGTTTGTATTCAATCAATCAGTGGATTATTGCCAATAACCAAAAAATAACAGGATGACTTTATAATTATTCATCTATAGCATATTTAGTATGGAATTTCTTCATAAGAATACATTTTATTTTGATCTCATGAGAAAAAGATTCTAATAAAAGAATCATTTGAAAAAAAAACACCGACTTATATATATGAACTATTTGATGATAATTGTTTATCTATTATCTTATCAATCAATACTATACCATTTGTAGAAATGATTTATTATATGAAAAACAGATGGAAGAAAAAGATTATAGGATAGATAACATTAATTTTATGATCATAAAAGAAAAGAATCATTTCAAGCAATATCATATTAAATATTGATCAAATAATCAATTAAAATTTGTTTTTTTTTCTATTTAAGTTACATTATAATTTCAAACGTAAATAAAATTTGAAAGAACTGGTAACTTCTACGCAAAACCTTTTCAGTTGTTCTCTTTCAAATTCTAAAAGGATCTGAATTTCTATTAAGATTTGAATAAGCTACCAAATATTTAATACATTCATGCAGTTTTTTGAAAGTCTCACATCTCAAAAAGAATTCTATCATTAGTTGAATGTTTTCCTTTTGTTAATCAGTTTAATATATAGATAATAAGATATATTATTGGAAGAAATGTGTTTTGAGCACCAAGAAAAGAGTGAAATGAGCAC